GAGAACAAGTTGGCGACTCTACTCAATGTTTGCACATTTCACTTGACGTAGCTTCCTGGCGGAGTGCTTATGCACCATTCCCGCCGCGAAAGCATTGCTGGCCTTTGGTGCAGGTTCTAGAAAGTCTTCTCTCCATAGATCATTGGCATCGGCCGGCAAAAATCGGAGCCATTTGGGCTGATCGAGTTGCTCACATTTGTCAAAGGCATTGGCCACCAATGGAGGCATCAGTGATTCCCCGATCACGTCCATCTCGACATTGGAAGTTGGCCACAAGATCCTGGTATGAACACAGGAAGCGTTAAGCATGACATGGCTCACCCTAACCATTGCATTACTTACACTTCCTAGAAATGACGATGCGTAGAGCGTGCAGTTCTTTGGGCTGAACCTGAGAAATGTTCCTCCTGGTTGTCTCAATTGGAGCACCACACTCTGTATATTTATCAATGCATTCGGTGGGTTTTGGATGGTTACATCATGACACGGACTAATACATGCGTCCAAAGCAGCGCAGCTTCGTCCATTCAGGCAGATCTGCACGCGTTGCACACTGCGCCAGGCAGGAACTCAGGTTTCAACCTGGAGTGCAGTATGCTTGGTTTGTACGTTGTTTGTCAAGACGAAATGCCTTATTGTTCTCTATCTACTTGGAATACAGGGAGTGACAAGCATGACATAGCCCCCCTAGCCTAAGCTTTGTACTACTTGCACATCCTGAATTTGCGCAAGAACATAAAACCAGAACACAGACAAAAGGTTAAGATCTGATACATGCTCTTGGAGAGAAGACTACCTTAGACGAACCCTTGTGCGAAAGGCTAGTTCGAAAGAACTGCCGAATCTTGTTAGGCACAAACAAGGACAGACAAGGATAAGCCCTCTTGGCGTATCTGGCAAACTTAACTTCGCGCGGAAGGGCCAAGTAAAGACTTTGACGCGACGGGCGTGGAGCCCACCGGCGGCGGATGAATGGCCTCAAGGGCCTTTGACATGAGGGCGCACTCTCAACACT